TACTTTTTGATAGTTATAAGAATATTATTCTTATTTCTAAAGCATCTTATTTATTCAGAGATATTTTGATATCATAAAATGAATTCATAAAAATGCTTTTCATAGATACCAATTCACAATACATAAGATTTAATTAAGTTGTTTATCGAATATTTACTTGTTTGAACATCTAAGTAAGTTATAATTCTAATATTGCTAAAATTATATATTTGATTTTAGATATATACTCTATTCTATTATAAAAGGGTTTTTAATTTAGAAGGAGTAAAAATAAGAATATTAAAAGATGATTTAATGATGTTAATTTTGAAAATGATATTTTTTAATTAAATTTAAAAATATTTAATAATAAAGTTGAATTATTGATTCAGTTGTGTAAAGACATAAATAAAGCAATATTATGAATAATAATTTATAATACAATGTAAAAATATATATATTTAATCAAACAAAGTTAATTAATTAGCTTAGATCATGATTTCCATCAATCCAGGGATGATTGAGTACTTATTCAATAGTATATCTATCTTCAGGATTAGGTGATATCATATTTTGAAATAATTCTTAAAATAGAATGTCATTATATTTTGTATTTCTATTAACAATTTTCCAAAAATAATTCCATTTTTATTCAAATATCAATTACCAATAAGGACATTTTGAAGATGCCTGAGAGAATGGAGGAAATCCATAATAGAGAATAAAGATTAGAATAGCTAAAGCAAATATATCAGATCTTTTAAGGAGATTTGATTGAATATATTTTTCAGAAATAAGTAATTCCGGTGACATATAATTTTTTGTTCCACAATTTCTTATATATTATTTTTTGTTATCTACAATGTCAGCAAAACCAAAATCTATTAGTATGATTTTTAAATCTTAATTTAACATAACATTTTCTAATTTGATATCTCTATGAACATAATTAAGTTTATGAAGGTATTGAATTATTTCACTTAGTTCAAGTAGAATTTATTTCACTGTTTTAACATCTAATCGAGCCCCATTCTTTATAATTTAATAAAAATCGATTCTCATTTATTCACAAATAAAGTATTTGTAATCTGGATCATGATCTATAATTTTCAGTATTTAAGGATGATCTAGACTTTTTAATATTTTTATTTCCTTCTATCTTAATTTCTCTGAATAATTTTATTTGTAGATCTTTACTACACATTGTTAACCCTTATATTCACATTAATGAAGTTCACCTGAAAAACCATCACCTATTTTTCTATTCAATTGCATAAATATTTAAATAAATTAAATTTTTTAGTTTCTATTTCCAAATAATTTAATATATTACTTTTCTTTTTCTATTTACAAAATTTCATACAATTAATACGTTAAAATATTTTATAATAATTATAAATATTATTAATATTATTATTATTATTACAAGAAGAATTCTTATTATATTATTGAAGTTTTAATCTTTTTTTATTAATTTCTAGCTATCTTTGCTTTAGCAGCTGTTTATATTTTTATAATATTTTACACATCTTAATAATCCTAAAGATTAATATTAATAAATTACATAGCCACTTAATTATGATAATTCTTTATCCTAGTTATTATCATTCTATTCTATTAAAGATTTCTTGTAATCATTAATATCTTTAGTGAATTTATCATTTAAATAATTATCATATTCTTTTGCAGCTATTTTCTCTTCTGGATGACTTCCTTATACTTTTGTGGTTTATGTATTCTGTTTGATGCTTTCCCCTTTGCTATATTATGTTTGCTCTCAAATATAAATTCTTTTCCTTATGCTTTACATTTAAAATATTCTAGTCCATATTTTATTATGTCAAATGGTTAATTTCTTAATACTTTTCTATTATTTATCTATTTACTTTCTCTTGTAAAATCATAAAATCACGTAAAATTTAATAAAACCCTTCTGGAACTAGTTATTTCTATAAGTATTTTAATTATTATTATTTAATTATTTCTAAATATATTTTAATATATTATTCTCTAAATCCCTATTATAGTAATATTAAATGCTATAATTCTAAATCAAGAAATATTAATAACTTTATTATATTTAATTATTAATCCAGCCCTCCTAGCTCAGTTGGTCAGAGCGTTGGCCTTTTAAGCCAAATGTCAAGGGTTCGACCCCCTTGGAGGGCGGCTTTTTTTTTAATTAATTTTTATTTTTATTAATAAAATTTATTTTTATGCTATAACCTAGACCATTTTTTTATAATAAACAGATAGGTGTCATTTGGACTTTTTAGAATATTTATTATTCACCTAATCAAAAATTTTCACTTCAAAATATTGAAAAATCTGAAAACCTTGAACAAAATGAAAATAATCAATATTCAATAATCAACAAATTGACTTATGAATTTAATTTAGAAGCAGAAAAGTTGTTTTGGAGATATCAGCTATAAGATAAAATTAAAATTTTTATTTTTAATGAACTTATTGACCTTGATTTTAAATAAGCAATCGAATAATTAAGTAAAAATAAAGTTGTATCATACTATTTTAAAGCAAAATAGCATTTCGAAAAGCAATTTTATGAACACATAGAATTCTTATTAATATCTTTCAAAAATATTATAATCTATAATTTTAAAAATAAAACAATTGAGTCTACTTTATAAAGCAAAGATTTAAACTTATTTCTCAACATTTTTATTAAAGAATAATCAATCATAGATACATTTAAAACAATTACTTAAGAGGCATAATTTTTAAATAGATTAATTTCAAAAAACAAAAATCTTCCAAATTACAAATAGTAAAATCTATAAAATCCTTAATTTAAAATAGATGATGGAACTAAAACGATTATTTGGACAATTGATTAAATAGGTCTTAATTATTATTTATGCTTTGAACCTAATTTCATAACTTATTATGGATAATTAAATGATAAATAATAAAAGCATGGTCGAGGTATACTTTTTTAAACCACTTGGGATGATAGCAATCCTAATTTCATCATATTATAAGGAAGTTTTAAAAATGGTAAAAAAAATGGACTTATGATTAAATTTAATTCTCGTAGTGAAAATATTTTATATGGATAAGAATATATTGATGATTAATTCATAAAATAAGTTGATTTAGATGATAATGGTAAAGTTAAAGTTGTTGAGATAAAACCTCCAGAAATTTAATAATAAACTACTTAGGAACCACCAAAAAAAAGGAGAATTATTATAATGGAAGAGGGAGTAATGGTTAATAATATTGATAAACCTATAAAAGAAAATTAAATTGTAAAATCAAATTTATTTGTTAAATTTAATTAATAATATAATGATAATGATGAAAAAATATTAAATAGTCGTCGTGGATAATGGTTAACAAGTTCAATAATAGATGGATATGCATTATATCTACAAAAATAATATTATTAAGAAGTTTTTTAAAATGATAATCCTATTTAATAACTCAAAACATTTATTATAGATTCCACATATTTAACAAATGCTGAAATAGATTATAAAATAGTATATGCTTTAAGAGCTTTATGTTATGAATTTAAAGGAATATCAATTTTTGATATTTTTGAAAACATAGCTGTTATTGTTAATTAGAGAAATACTCATTGGTTTTTAGTAGTGGTAAAGAGAGAAAAATAGAATGGAAAAGATAAATTGAATTTTCATGTTTCAGATTCTATGTCAGGAAATAAATAGAAATATATATAGGTTTGTGAAAAAATATTTAATTTATTAACATATCATTTAGAATTGGAAGTAATTGCATTTTAAGGAGAGTAAAATATAATAGTGGAAAATGTTTTGCAATAAAAAGATGGATATTCTTGTGGGGATCATACTTGTTTTTTTTTATAATAATATTTCTAGGAAGATGGTTAATAATAACAGAATAAAGTATAAGTGTAAGATATGAGAAAGATATTATTTAATCTCATTTTCAGCAAATGAATTAATTAATATATTAATTATTTTTATATCTATTTTTATGCGTCTTGGTTTGAAGTTAAAAAAAGAATCAAAACCACCTTAAGAATAATAATAGGAGTAGACAACTTAAGAATTTAAATTTGATTTTGTTTTCTTTAACTCTAATTAATAATAATAATTTGACAACTTAGATTCAAAATTATTTAAGCTAATTATCTAAAAAAAGAATACAAAAGAATAAATGATTATTTATAAAGATTATGTTTATATAGGAGAAACATAAAATAATTAAATGCATGGAAATGGTAAAATCTATATTAAATAATATGATGCATATTGCAATAATAATTATTTTATTTTTGAAGGACAATTTTAAAATAATGAAATTAATGGTAAAGGTATAGAATATTATGGTAAAACTAATAATAAAAAAGTTGAAGGAGTATTCTTAAAGTTGTCCTTAATTGAAAAATTCTAAGAATATAATTAGGATGGAAGTATACTAGTTAAATAAACAAATTTATAATAATCTTAACTACAATAATCATTTATATAAGAAGATCGAAATAATAATAAAATGTTTAGAATCAAATCAGGGATTAAATAAACACCTTCTTAACCTTAATAATAAAAATCACAAATTAAATAGAATGATAAATGGACCAAGTTTGATGTTGAATTAAGTAAGGATCATCTTTCATCTCTTTTATCTGAAAAAGCAATTAATGATTCAATAATAGAAGCTTATCTTAATTATATTAATTATATTGATTCAGAGAAGTTCTTTAATCTAAAATCATTGCCTGAAATACAAGCATATAAAAGAACTCTCATTATTCCTTATTTTCTATTTGAATAGTAAAAAATAGACATACTCAACTATTTTGTTGAATTCTCTTATATTAAAGGATAGTTTTGGTAAATATATCAATAAATATTTATAATTGTAAATTCTAATGGTCATTGGATACTTTTAGAAATTCTATTTGAAACTTAAGATATTAAAATTAAAGTTTATGATTGTTGTTCTAAAAAAAAACCAATATTTTATGTAACAACTTGTAAGCATGTTTGGAATATGATTGAACCTATCACTAAATAATATAATTTGGCAATCTCTTGGAAATCTAAAGATATTATTGTTGTTGATTGTCCTTAATTATCATAACCAAATGATTCCGGTATATTTGTTTGTGCTTATATAAAATATTTGATTTCAAATATAAGTTTAGATTAAATTACATAAGAAGTTATTAATAATATACGGAAAACAGAATTGTTTAATATTGTTAAAAAGGAAAAATGAAATAAATAATAAAATTATAGATAATGCTTCATTTAAACTATTTCTATTTAGAATTATTTATTGTTTTTAATATTTTACTTAATGATTATTCCTTTTCACTTTTTAATTTCTCAGATAACAAAAGATCTTATTTTAAATTAATACCTTTATTTTCATTGTAATTTAAAGAATTATTTCTTTCAGATTCATGGTTTGTATTATTTTATTTTTTTTAATTATTTTACTTAATTTTACTATTTCGCTTTTCCTTCTTAATTTTTTAATCATTTTCCCAGCTTATCTTATATCTATTGATTTCATCTTAAATTTAATTTACAATTTCATTTTCTTTAATTCTTTTACTTTCTCTTTCTATTTCCCATTTTATTGCATTTTCTTATTATTTCAATTTTTATATTTTTTATTTGTTTTTTTCTATTTCTTGTTTCATTAACGATTCCTTACTATTTGATCTCTAAGATCTATTTAAAGATTAATGACCATCAATCATTTATTTTATTTAAGATTTAGCTGTTGGTTTATTTGTCTGCAATTTCAAAATTTTATCTAATCTTGATTACTATTTTTAATTTACAATATACTTTTTTAGTTTAGGCTTCTATTACTCTTTTTTAATAATCTTTAGAATTGGATGAAGAACGACTAAGACTAAGGTTTGATTATTATTGACTTTTGGGTCTATTAATTTTACTATGAGTATTATTTATTTATGATTAGGAAATATTTGTTTTATTGGAGAATGATTTTTAGGATTATTAAAGTTTATTTATGTTTTAAAAACCTTATTAACTTAATGACCTATTTCTTTAATTATTTCTTTTGCACAATAATAAATTTTTAAACAAAGGTTTTGAAATAGTTAAAAGTTAATTGAAAGTATCTTGAATTATTTCAAAAATCTCATCAATTTACCCATTTTCATTTTATTATTGAATTTATTATAAAACCATCATTGATTTCTCTACATTTTCAAAACGTACTCTTTTTTAAAATGTTTAAGGATCATTAATTATCTCTAAAATTTCATTAGTATTTCGTAAACATTATTTTATAGATTACCAATCAGATTTAATTTAATTTCCTTAAATTGATGCTATTGTTCCACTTAATAATGTTACTAGTGCATGAGTAATTTATACAATTTTTTAAGAAGGCTTGATCATTAGTTTTAATTGCTAAAATATGTAATCGCATTACATTAAGAAATTTGAAGGTGATTTTCTTATTTTGAGTTTCTTATTACATTTCTGTTAATAAAATAATACTCTATAAATAATGATAATTAAATATTTTAGAATATAAAACAAAATCATAAGTACTTTTTATATATTACAAATATATCAATAATACCTAACAACAAAATGATAATAAATAAGGATGCTTTATCACAACTTATTTTAAAATTCATCAATTATATAGCTACATCACTTTTTTTTAAATTTGACATTAAGTCTTATTTCTATTTCATTTTTATTAAATACTTTAAATTTTGATTATTGCAATGAATGAGTTCCTAAATTCATTTTTTAATCTACATTTAAGGCAATTTGTTCAGTATCTTATGTCAATCTATCTATCTCTTCAATTATAAGATCATTTTCAAACAGATCTCCTTTTAAATTATCTGTTTTCTTTTGTTTGATTAATAATTCATTAATATATTCTTCTAATACATCCAATTACTTTTTATATTATAAAATTTTATTCTATAATATTTTCTTAGTATTGTTTGAAGTCATGGAAGCTTCTGTTTCCATCATTTTAATCTAATTTTAGTTATCAGATTTTACACATCTTCTTAAATCATCTACATTTTTTTTATAAAACTCATCTGTACTCTATTCTCCTTTTCTTAATTGTTATTTTACTTATTCACTAATGAATTTGAATTCTTGTTCATTTTATATAAATTCATTATTTCCTTTTACATCTTACATTTTTTATAAATAATTAACAGAATATGTCACATTCAAATTCTTATAGATTAAAATTACCTTTAGATACCCATTAAACTAAATAAAACCCTCATCATTCTTATTATCCACAATTAAGATTTAAATAATAATTCGGAACTGTCATGTAATAATATTAAGTACTATAAGAGAAAATAACTAAACTTTTTTTAAGTCTAACCTCCCAAACCCATTGATTCGGAAGAATAAAAAGTTATATAAGAACTGAATTCTTTAAAAGTTATTTGGAAATTAGTTACTTCGAAAAAATGAGAGAATATGCTAAAATTATTAAAGTAAATGATGAAGAAATTTATATACTTATGAAAAGACAATAAGATGAGAAATTTAATTTGGAAAAAGAAAAAACTCTTTATGTTCTAGAATTGACAGGATACTTTAAATATCAATTCAAAAACTAGAAGAAGTTAAAAAGAATCTTGATAAAAGAAAATCGAAAATCACATATTGCAATAGTAAAAGTTAACCTTTAAAAATAAGGAAATAACAGAACTAAAAAAAGAATTAGATAGAACAAATTAAATTAAGAAATAATTATTATCAACAATATTATGAAATAATGAGAGACTAACATTAAAGAAAAAAATAAACTCGAGAAAATACTAAAATTCTTTTTTAGAATTAGAAAAGCTTAATCTTGAATTTTCTTAAATAATCCTTTAAAAGATAATAGCCAAAAAACATACACAAACTACCTTAAGTAAGATATTACATATTTTTTCTACATTCAAATTTAAGAATTATTTTTTTTATTTTTATTCTTTTGAATGTAATAATTTCACTTATTCATTATTTTTCCTAACCTTTCAATCACTTATTCTTCTTTTTTTATTTTAAGTTTTAACTCTTTAATCTGATTTTAATAAATGTATAACTTAGTTTACCTAATATTAACCACACCTTTTAAAAAAATTAACAGGGATCTTGCAACAATAGATTGAGCACCAGCTTATTCTGGTGATATACTTTCCACTTATTCTATTTACTTAAGTTATTTATCATTAATGCTATTAATGTCCAAACTTATAATTTATTATAAAAAATCTTGTCGACTTAAAATCTTTTGGCATTCACGCCAATTGTCTTTTTATATCTTAAATTTAGAATCTAAAATTAAGCATATAAGATTAATTATCCTCTCAATTAATTCAGTTGGTCTTGCTAAAGCTTTTAATTCATTGATGTGAGCTTTTTAAAGTTAATTTAATCCATCAAAGGCTGCTTACAACATATTTTAAGAATTCTCATCCTTAGCCTCTTCTTGTGATAGCTAAATTTTCAATTATAATTCATCCTGATGTTCAGACATCTACTTTTAAATACAACTTATTTTTTGAGGAATCATTAATTTTATAACATCATTTGCTCGTCTGCTTAGCAAACGAAATTGAAAAAAGCTTTTCAAATCTAAAAATTGTATTATTTAATGAAAAACTTCAGGTCTCACTTAGTGTAGCATGTTATTTTTTGTCTGTGCTGGTTTATCCAAATTAGATTATAAATTATATATTTCTTGCAGATTAATATATAAACTCTCAATCCTTTATTCTTTCTCTTTGCCACTTTATTGTAAGTTATTTAGTTCTTATTACAAAGTTATTAACATCTAATTAATAAAAATATTAATGAATCTGAATAAATTATTAAAAAGAATATAATTGTTTTATGATAATGTAAATTTTAACTAATTTATAAAATTTTTATTTTGTAAAACATTTATTTACTTACACAGAGACTTTGTAAATACAGGCTGTTTAAAAAAAGATATTTTAAAAACAAAAACTGTCAGATAATGATGAAGGAAATAATTTTGAAATACATCTTCTTAATCTTCAAAAGATGTTTGATTAAGGTTCAATTTTATTGATATATATAAATGAATCTCAAACTTTAAAAATGAACTATTTCCAAAAATTTTTTGATATTAAGTTTAAATTTTGGAAATCAAATATTCTACAATTTTCAATACTTAGCTTTATTAAATTATACATAACTATAAAAACTCAAGAAATTGGGAGAATTAATTTATGATTTTCATTTCATTACTCATTCTTTTTTATTGATTTACATTCTAATATTCTACTTAAAATTAAAAATGATGAATAAGCTAATCTATTTGAGGGTATTATTGATATATACATGACAAATAAAAATAAATATTTTGATTATGTCTTCTTTTCTCAATAAACATATCTTAAGTATAAAGAGTCAGGTTAAAAAGCCACTAGCTGAGCTAACAAAAATTAAAAAGCTTATACAATATCAATAGGTTCAAATTTAGAGAAAAAACATTAGGTTAAGAAGGTGGAAGAAAAGAAGATATGGTAAAAATCTTAATATAACGAAAGATTCTAAGTGAATTAATCATCAACTAGAAAAATCAGAATTTAGCATAATTGAATCAATAGGGTAGTTGTTAAGGAGATCTAAAAAAAGTTGTTTATTTCGCTTTGATAATATTAATCTTTCTACTTATATTGAGGATTATCAAAATTTTATTGTTAAAAGTTATAGTTTATTTTAATAACAAAATTCATTAATAAATTCACTTAAAATGTTTTTTATCTATCAAGAATAATAGAAATTTCATATTTATTTTATATATATTTTTAATTAATTATTTTATTTAAAATTATCAATGTCTAAAACACCTTCACTTGAATAATTTTTGACCAATACTAATTAAGAAATAGAAAATAATTAAATCTTTCACTATTTTATATCTTCAAACTAAGAGGATCGTAAATAATTTGATTAATCGAAAAATCCATAATAATCGCTTTGTGGAGCACATGTTTCTCCTCAATCTCTTTCATTTTAATGTTTTGATTGTGCACCTGATCCTCATCATATGTATTGTGGAAACTGTTTTTAGTTGGAATTACATTAAAGTATAAATTATATTTTAAGCATCAGATCATAGAGCATTTTTTAAGAAAGAAGCAAGTGGATGTTGTGATTGTGGAGATCCTTCTGCAATTTCTAATAAAGATTCATTTTGTAAATTACATAAAGAGTAATAAATTGACATCACAAATGAAATCTAGAAAGTAAAACCCAATATAAGAGAGGCAATATTAAACTTTTTAAAAGAGTCCTTTTAAATATATTTCTAAAAGTGTGAACAAGCAATGAATTTATAATCCAAGGTACTTAATCCATTTTTAATTTAATGTTACCATATTAGTCATATAATAAATTATATGTAAGTTTAGAAATAATTAAATAATCACTAAAATATCAAAAATACTTATTAAGCAATTTTAGCAGCTAATCACATATAAAATATTATTATTGATTTTTTATATTGGCTATGTTAAGATAGAACATCTTTGGCTTTATTAATAGCAGGTTTTTTAAAATCTAATTATAGAGATGGAGTAACTTACTTTGAATAAGTCATTTATTATTAAGAATTAAAAAATATGTTAGATTTTGATCATGACAATAAATTTGAGAAATTGCTTTATGTTTTGAATATAGATGAGAAATTTAGATTGTTTACCTAAGATATATTTTTAACAAGGTAAAATGATTTATGGAAAATTTATGAAATTTAAACATTTGATGGAGCTGTAATTGTAGAAGAATATATTTAATCATTTGAAAATTTCATTTAAAATGGGGTATTTTGTACAAAAGAGAAAAATTAACTATAATTATTTGAAAATTATTTTAAGAAAATGAATACTTGTAAAGAAAAATATTAAGCCTTTTCAGTTAAAGCTGTTAATTTTTTTTAAATGCATACTTAATTTGTTTCAGAAGAATTTTAAGATATTTAATTCACATCCCCAAAAATAAAATAATTATTAGATATGAATACAAAATTATTAAATATATTAAATACCTGTTATTTGGGTAATATTGATAGTTATTTTTTAATGCTAGAATTTTTTTCTCTAAAATTTTAATATAACTACTTTATCAAGAGTTTTAACAATACTTTAACTATGTTATTTAAAAATTATGAAACTTCTGAATTGTAAATAGAAGAGATTGCTTAATTAAATCCTAATTAGTTTTTTTTAACAGCACTTTTTTAGAGTTATAGTTAAATAAAAGGGTTTTCAAGATCAGATCTTCTTTATTAGCCACTTATATCAGAGACTTAAATATAACTTAATCTTTTATATATTGAATAAAGACAAGTATTCATCATGAAATAATGTTTAACAAAATACTTAGCATCCCCTTAAATTACTACGATAGCTAAATAAAATTTTATTAATATCCTATTTTATTGGACTTATGAGGTTATAAAAACAAATAAAAACAATAAAGAATAATATAATTATTTATCTGCACTCTACCATAATAATTTAAATTAGAAAAATATAGAAAAAGATCAAATGAAAATAATTCTTCGATTAAATTATTTTATTTATAGAAGTGGATCATTAATTGATAAATTTTTTATTATTCTTTTAACTTATTTATTTCAATAAAAGGGATTTAAATCATCAAGTTAATTTAAAATGTTTTTACGAACAATTTTGAAATAAAATGAGTAAGATTTATAGTTCAATTTATTTAATATATTTGAAAGATGTGTACATAATTTTATAAGTCTTTTGTATACACCATTGAATGAAATGGTTTCTAAGAGTTATTTTGCCATAGGAAAAGAATAGCTTGAATCATATGATATGGCTTATATCAAATTTTATTTTATTCTTTATAAGAATGAAGCTTTGGATTAAATGATAACTATTATCTAATCTAGAAAATACTTTAGTGATTTCACTTAAAGTTAATACTTTATGTAATATTGATTCTCTATTATTAGATAAATCATTGCTCGCATTATCGGCTGTGATAAGAGTTTTTCTTGTGTATGCTAAGCATTATACAACTAAAATAATCTACCTAAAGACTTATCTTTTAATATATTTTAAATCCTTTCAAATTTATTTATACTCAATCATTATTAAGAGTATTCAGAAATTAAATCGACCTTTGAATAAGCTTCTTTTTCTGTTTCTAATTTAGAATTATATATATTAAATTTTTGTGAATTGGATGTAAATATAAATAAATTAAAACTGAAGTCTCATTAATAGATTTTAGAATATTTTCAAATATAATCATAAAACTACATAGATTCTACTAGTAATCATACTTATTTTAATCCCTTATTATTTTTAAATGATTAATCAATTGCTTCATAAATTGGAGAGCATTTAAGTACATTGAAAAAACAAGATTATTTTATTAAATTTGGAAATTTCATTGAATAGCTTTAAGAATTTGATTAATTAAAAGGAATAAATTTAGAATTTATGGAATTTTTTGCATAAGATTCGAATGTCAATCTAATAATTTCAGAAATTAATCCATCTTATAATTCATCAACTGAAATCAAATTAATTGAAAGATTAGCAAGCATTAGAGCATATTTAAAAATTGACAATTAATAAATTTGTGAATCTTTAAGTAAATTATAAATGAGCAAATTATAAGATTAATAAAATATATAATTGATTGTAAATAAATTTGCAAATTCTAAAAATATTATAGAAGTAGAATCAGAAATACTATAAATTAAATCTTTATAAAATGTTAAAATGAATAAGATAAAAGCTAAATTTAAATAAAAAATTGAGTCATTTTAATAAAATGATATTGTTTTGATTGATGATTAAAAAAATTAAGATCAATAATGTGATACTTGTGCATTATGTAGATTAGATTTGGATGAAAGTTAAAATTGTTGTATCCCTATTTTGATTTAGGCAAACCCTTATTTAAAACATTTTCAAATTTATCCACCTGATTTAAGAAATTAAATAATGAAAGATTAATTAAATTTATTGAAAGTTTCAATAATTAGTTGTAAACATAAATTTCATGATAAATGTTTAATTGCTTCTTATTCATATTCATAAAAATAGAAAGTCTTACCTTTATGGTTTTAATTATAATGTCCAGTTTGTAAATCAACTAGTGAGAATAAATTACCAATAAATAAAAATAAAAGCAATGAATAATTTGATGAATTAAATAATTGGTTATTATTATAATGTTAAAATTTGGGAATAAAGAACTATCTTAATGAAAAATATGGAGAATCTATTGAACATAAATTAAAAGAAATTTATCTCTCTTTATTAGTTGATTTACTAATATAATTATTTATGGATCCTTTAGAATTCATAAGACAAGATAAAAATTTTGTATTTTTAAATATATTAGATTGTTTATTCTAAATATGCAAAAAGATTACAATTAATCTTTTTGATTTTCAGAATGAATAGACCATACTCTTAGTTATAATTAACTTAATATTAGAACTATTAATATTGAATAATCACTAATAAAAATCTCTAAATGATTTTCTTTTGGATAATTAGGATTAAATAAAATTAAAAATTTTATAATTTGATTTAACATTGTAAATTAAAAATCAATTAATGAAATGTTTTGCATTAAATATCTAATAAGAATAAAGTTTAATCATATAATTTAATTAATATATAGATTAATTTAATAAGAATAATTTGATAAATATTGTGAAATAATAAATTACTGAAAATTTAAGATTTAAGTTTAAATCATTTTATGATCATTATTTTAATTAACCTTGTTAATTTTGCAAAGGTTTTTCAAATGCACCAAAAAGTTCTGATCAATTTATATGTTTACTATGTTGTTAAAAAGTATGTGATGTAGAATGCAAAGTAATAATTTATACTAATTTAAGAAATTATTTTCAAAGTCTGGAAATATGAATGTTCATGCATAGCTTAACCATTAAGGAAATACTATTTTTATAAGTCTTAAAACAGGCTAACTAGCATTGTTATCTTCACCATTAACTTGTTTTGGATACAAAAATTTATATCAAAATAAATTTGGATAATTAATAAAAATCACAAATATTGAAACTTAATGGGAAGAATATTATATAAATAATAAAGTTTTAACTGACATAGCTGAAATCATTATTTCAAATTCACTAAAGCAAGTAATAAAAAATTAAGAGTTAAATTATAATCAATTAGATTTAAGAGGATTCTATTGAGATATTTTCTAATTTATTATATTAATAGAATAATTTATTAAAATAAATTGGATTTTATTTGTAATTTAATTTTATCATTATCATAATAGTTATAATAATTACTATTCTTAATGTTAATATTATAATCCTTCTTTAAGATTCCACACATCTTCTTCAGGTAATTAACCTTTTTAAAATTAATCTTGTAAATTTCTTATTATTAGTTTTAGATTTGCTTATTCTTAAATAAATTATTATATTTTTTAATTATCTAAATTCTAATTTATTAATTCTTAATAGAGTATTTCATTTTTCTAAATTAATATCTCACTTTATGTTTTTTATCTCAAAATACCAATATTATAATGGCCAGGTTTTATTAATAATATAATTTTCTAATTTTCTTTATTAACGAATCGATAATGAATCTTTACCAAAAAATATTAATTCCACAAATCTGAAAATAAATTAAAATAAATTATTTACACATTTAAACTTTTAGCTAATTCTGAAATAACAGTTTCATTATTATCACACTCTTATTCCCATTGTAATAGTTTTTCTCTATCATAAATTGTTTCTTTCATTTCACTTTAATTAATAATATAATCTGAATAATTTCTAAAGAATATAGTTGATAATCCATAAAAACAACCATCAACATCATCAGATTCGTATTAGTAGGCAGCAAACTATTTAAAAAAAGATTCCTATCTTAAATTTATATCTTTAATCGATTTTAATTAAATTAATCTGTTAACAAATTCTTGTAATAATATTTTTTATATTTCTTTATCATCAATCTTAAAATTTATATCCTAAACAAATATTTTCATAGATAACTCAATATTTTTTATTTTCTTTATGAATTCAAAAAATTATTGAAAAGAATAATGAAACAATAAAATTTATAAGAATTAATATCCAAAAGCTGTATAAAAACAGTTCCCATCTCCTCTAACTTCTCTAAATGCATTACAATATTATGATAATGTTTTGCTTTCTTACAATTATAAACTATAGTTCTTTTTTAAGCTCTTTTCATCTTAAATTGGTCTGACATAACTTTTATATTCTTCTTACACTTATCTTTTTTAATTAGTATTTTCATATAGTTGTTAAAGGATTTCTCTTACTTTTTATTATTTCTCTTGATCATTTCTAAAGAAATCTTTAAAATTTTATTCAAATTTTTTGAAGTCTTCTTGGTATTAATCATCATATTTTTAAACTGAAATCTTAATCTAATATAAAATAATTTACTTTTATATCGCATATTTATTCTATCATCAATAATCTTCCAATATTTTTTAGTACATTATCTATATCGTTTTTAGGATTTTATTATATTTCTTGCTATTTTACATCATCATTATTTTTGTTTAACAACCTATCATTTATAACTTAAGATATTATTACGGCTATATATCAAAATCTAATTCTACTTAATCACTATTTTATCTTGAAAACTTTACAGGATTCTATTACTTTAGACTTCTATTTGTTAAAAGGGTATAAATTTGTAAAATAAACGTAATAATAACTAGAAGACTAGTTATAGGTAAGATTATTAGAGATAATGCTTAAATTTAAGAATATATTAAAGCTAAGTTCATGATAAAAATAATAATCTAATTTTCTATAATTTTTTGTGAAAACTCATTTAAAGAATATTTATTAAGTAAAACTGTTCTTTTTGAGGATTTTATATAATAATTAAAAGTAGAAGAAGGAAATATGATATTTGGAATATGAAAAATACACAAGAAAAATCTTACATAAAATAAAACTCCCTATATATCTTGTAAATTATTTCTGTTTTGTTCTCCAATATATGGTTGCTTAAATACTATCTATTTTGAATAAATAAAAATAAAATATTTGTTTTACCTTATTTATTGAACTATTTAAATAGAAGAATTCAGGAAAGAGCTCTTTTTATTCTTACTTCTTGAAATTGAATTTATGTTATAATTAAATTAGAGACTTATGGATGTTTTGAAATATTCATAAATATAGATAATAATTAATTGTGAGATACCAATTTAAACTCATAAAAAATAATATCATATTATAAAATATTATTTTATATACAATATAAAAATATTTACAGCTAGAATGAGGATTTAATGTTATTAGTAATTAATGGCAATTTATTAAATTAAAAGTGTTCTTTCATCAAAAAAAATGATTGGTAACAAATGATTCTCATAAGCAATCATATTGAGTCAGTATCCACCTCAATTAAGTATAGGATTGACTTACTTTCTATAATTATTTGACTAAATTGAAATCATAGATATAAATGAATCTATGGCTTATAATTTTATTAGATTAATTGTTAATTAGAAGAGATAAATGTATAGATTATCTGATGTTCTTATATTCAGAAAAAAAATGGATTAATTTTGTGAATAAAGATTCAATGCAATCAATCATAGCAAATCTGATAAAATAATTGAAAATCAAAATAAAAAAATTTTCTATGTTTAATTCAATAAAATAATTAGATATCAAATTTCTTTAATTTTCCTAATAATAATAAATTAAAAAAATTATTGAAAAATAATTAAAATTATTGTGAGAATAAAGGGTTTAATTTACAAATGAATGCTTTTCTCATTCTGAATATATTTTAATAATATCCTTAAATAATTCTAATAAATTCTATTTTATTAAAATAAAAGAAATAAATGATTAAATTATTTTAATAGCTTAAGCATCTTCTATTCCTTATGAATAAGAGAATGAATGAATCTAAAAACAGAATTTTAGGATTTATAATGAATTTTGATAATATTTTTATACCACTCTTTTACTTCATTTATAATTTTATGGAAAATGTAATCCTTTTTATCTAAGAACTTGCTAATTTGAATTAATTATTCAATATACCAATTTTTTAATGCTTGAATTATTAAAATTTAATACAATACTGTTATTATCCTTTATTTTCAGATTAAATAAAATTTGAGTTATTGAACACTTAAATATTTTGAAAATGCATCCTCACATTAAGTTTTCGATTAATGATTTTATGTTAAAATTTTGTTCTTTTTTTCCTGTGTAGATTTTAAAAAAGAAGACAACCTATCTAAGGGAACACAAAATCTCTTGTAAAATGATAAGGACAGATAACATAAGAAAATAAACCTTTATAATAAATCGTGTAACTGCATAAGGATTCAGATGAATGTAAATTTCATGATATATATACTACTCTCTAGTTAATAACTTATGGTAGTATAGATACTTTCACTTTAAAAAAGTAAGTAGAATATTAGCTCTTATTTGACAAGAAATTGTTAAAAAATAGATCATTTAGAAAACTTTATTAAAAAAGCATAGCTAAAATTACTTTAAAATTAAAATTTGTATAGTATTATTTATCCTTATCGAATAATATTTCTTTATTAAATAGAAAATTTCAATATAAGCAAATCTTATTACTGTATTAATTATCTATTATTACTTACATTCTTAATTATATAAAAAGGCTGTAATTAAAGAACTACTTTGTATTTTTTCATCAAAATATTCAATCTTCAAAGAAGTGCAACAAATCTATGAAATTTGAAATGTCATTGACAGAAGATTTAATATTTAGGTTCTAATAATAAAAATTGACCATTTCAAAAATTTAATGATTACTCTTTAACAATTTATAAATAAAATCCCATAAAAATTTATAATAATTTTTAATTCAAGTGGTGGATATGAAAGAAGGCTAATGTGATTTAAACAATATTAGAGGTTTGACATTATTCATAAAGTTGTAAATTTGTTTAAGGTTAATGTGTTATGTGTTGATAAGAATTAAAATATTTTATTGTTTTTATAGCCACATTATATGACATAAATTTTAATTTCTTAAAATATTGTGATTTAATATTAATTAATTTTAGGAGTAGTAAATAATTAAATCAATAAATTAATATTATCATGAATATAAAATAATTTCATATTTTGGCAGGTCAATCACATTTTTTATAATGAATAAGATTTTGTCTAATAATTTTATTATTTATTGAATTAAATATTCCACAAGATTACTTTATTTCTTAGTGTAGATGACTCATTCTACATAATAATTTATTATTTTTATTAATAATAATAATGATACTATAATTATTCTTAGAGTTAAAATTATATGATATATTTACATCTTATGCCATTTATTTTACATTTACAATAAAAGAACAAAAAATTATTATTTTATAATTTCTATTTAAAGAATTAAGTTTTAAAAATATTTTCATATAAAGTAGATGAACTGTTTGAATAAATAATGTGGCAAATTTTTTAAAATTTATATCATATGTTTATTATCATTATTCTAAGAATGATTTTTAACTATAAAAATTTTTTGATGATTTTTTCTACAAAATTTTATTAAGATATTTATTTTGTTAAATTTAAATGCTTTAAATCAATATTAAAATGCTCTTTATTATTTGAATGAGGCCATATCTAGAAATCCTGGAAAATTCGGTTATTTTCTAAATAAATGTTATTTACAAAAATATTTTAGCATTAATATTATTAAACTTAAACCGTTATGAAGAAGCCCTTAAAATTTGTAATTATTTGATCAAGTAATAACCTTAACAATTGGATTATTATTTTCTTAAAGGTTATTTATTTAAATTTAAAAAATTTTTAGCAAATATTTTAAGATTGTCTCATCATTTAGATGAAGCCATATTAAATTATGATTTAGCTATATCAAAAAATAATTAAAATGCTGATTGTTATTTTTATAAAGGTTAAATATTTTTTATGAATTTTTAGCAAACTCATTACAACTTTTAGGTCTTACTAATGAAGCTTTATAATGTGGTTTTCTTGCAATATAGAAAAATCCTGAAAACCCAGATTATTATAGTGGTTAAGGTATTTAGATTTATAATATTTTATAGCAAATATTCTAATGATTTTAAATCGAAATCAAGAAGCACTTGAATTTTGTGAATATGCACTATAAAAAGATCCTGATAACTTAAAATATTAAACGTAAAAAGGTATCATTACTAATTAATTTTAGCTATAATCTTATAAAATTTATATAATTTTTCTTCAGCAATTAAATAAAATAATCAGATCTTATAAAATAATCCAGGAGAAGCAGAATTATATGCAAATAAAGGTTTTCTGATAATTTAATTATTAAGCTGAATCTTTAATTCAAATGTAATGTTTTTAAGAGGCACTTGATAATTGTAATTAAGCTTTGAAATTAGATCCAAATAACTCTGATTATTATTTTATAAAATGTAAGTATATAATTGAAAAATAAGTATTAAAATTAATTTAATAAAATAGCAAAGAGTACTTTATTTACAGAAATATAAAGAGGCTCATTAATTTTGTAATGAAGCAATAAAAAGAAATCCTGAAGTTTCAGATTATTTTATTCACAATAGTATTATTTTGATATAATCTCTATTTAGCTGTTATTTTAAATAGAATGGAACTTTATGAAGAAGCTTTAAAAAATTGTAATTAAGCTATACTGAAAAATAGTTCAAATGCTGATTATTATCATAAAAAAGGTTTGTATTTATACAATTGTTAGGAATAACTTTAGATTACTTAAAACGTTATGATGAAGCTCTTAAATATCATGATTAAGCAATTTAGAAAAATCCACATAAAGCACAATATTATTCTGAAAAAGGTTGCAAGAATATTAAATATAATAATTAGCATACACTTTATCAAATTTAAAACGATATCAAGAAGCTTTAATTTGTTATGATAATGCAATATCAAAAAACCCTGATGGAGCTGAAGATTATTCAAATAAAGGTTTATTTGTATTTAAAAATTAGCAATTACTTTACAAAATTTACGCCGCTTTTAAGAAGCTCTTTAATATCATGATTATGCAATTCAAAAAAAATCCAAATAAGGCAGCTAATTATTATAATAAAGGTAAAAGAATAATATATGAATAGCAAGTACATTAAAATCATTAAATAAATTCAAACAAGCTTATGAATGTTGTAAGTTGGCTTAATAGAAAAATCCAGATCCTATGGTTATGAATCTAATAAAAGATCTTCAAGAAATTTTGCAATATAAGCTCTTAATATGATCATTAAGTATATTTAAAAAATGTTGAATTATTAAATCAAGTTAACAAATAAAAAATTTTTAATTTTTCCATAATTATAACTATTCTTAAATCCTTAATTAGATAATAATAATTATGATATATAATAAAATTAAAATTTCCTGTGATATTCAATAATATAAATAAAAAAAAGGATAAAAATAAATTATTAATTATTAAATTATTTATCATTCATGATTTTATTTTAATTATCTAATTTAAATTGCTTTTGATTTTAAATCCCATGTAATTAAATACTTACCATCATTACTTGCAGTTCCATAAATCATTCCATCCCATTAACATAAATATTAAAATTCTATAACTTATATCAATTTACAATCTATATTATTAGTTAAATTAAATTCATATTTTAATAAATTAATATTGATTCCATTTTTTGATATCAACATTTAATGATCATTTAAACAGATTAATGGGAAATAGCTATCACAATTTTTCTATCCTCCTTAAACTTAAATATTTATTTAATTATTATATAAATCTGTAACAGAATTTAAAGTGTAAATACATAAATAATTATTTCTTGGTTAAAATGCAAATTAATCATCTGTTATAAATGAGATTCGATATCCAAATTCTTTTAATTATATTTTCTGCTTTAATTTCCATAATCTATCAACTTCTTAAAAAACAAAAATCATAGAGTCTGCTCCACAAGAAAGTAATTTATTACCATTCTAATTAATTGATATGGCTTCCACCTAATTCAAATGTGATGTTATTGTTTATGTACATACCCAGGATTATTAATCTTATTATTAAAAATTAGTTGATAATGACCAAATTTTAATTGTTTTATCATATGATCCACTTATGATCGTAGTTTCTATTTTTGGATTTACTATTAGACATTTTATCCAATCTTTATGGCCAATCAATTTACTTATATATTTTGCATTTGATATCATATTAAATGACCATATTATAATTGAACAATCATTAGATCCAGAAATAAAATAAGATCTATTTTTAAATACAATAAGTGTTGTTATTGCATTCTAATGCTTATTTATCAATTATATTTATTTTAATCCATCTTTTAATTACAATACTTTTATATTATTATTTGAACCAGCAACTACTATTGAATTATTTTTATCAATTGCTATACAATAGCAACATTCTTGTTATCTGTATTTCATTTATGGAACTAATTCATATCTAAAACATTTCGAATTCCATTCTATTGATTTTTGTTCTGATTATTTACAAAAATCCATTATTTATAAAATTATCTAAAACTTTGAAGTAAATTTTATGTTAAATAATCTTGTCAATTCAATTCAATTCAATTTTTACTATACTAATCAAAAAATTCAATTTTGATATAATCTATTCACAAATTATGCTAAGTTGATATAGATGTATAACTAAATCTAAAGAAAGTAATATAATACAATTTTATAAAAAGAATTGCTTAATTATAAATGAAAATTTCAATAATTGATAATTAATTTAATATTTAAAGAGTAATAGTTTTCTATTATCATATGTCTGATANTAATTATTTCTTGGTTAAAATGCAAATTAATCATCTGTTATAAATGAGATTCGATATCCAAATTCTTTTAATTATATTTTCTGCTTTAATTTCCATAATCTATCAACTTCTTAAAAAACAAAAATCATAGAGTCTGCTCCACAAGAAAGTAATTTATTACCATTCTAATTAATTGATATGGCTTCCACCTAATTCAAATGTGATGTTATTGTTTATGTACATACCCAGGATTATTAATCTTATTATTAAAAATTAGTTGATAATGACCAAATTTTAATTGTTTTATCATATGATCCACTTATGATCGTAGTTTCTATTTTTGGATTTACTATTAGACATTTTATCCAATCTTTATGGCCAATCAATTTACTTATATATTTTGCATTTGATATCATATTAAATGACCATATTATAATTGAACAATCATTAGATCCAGAAATAAAATAAGATCTATTTTTAAATACAATAAGTGTTGTTATTGCATTCTAATGCTTATTTATCAATTATATTTATTTTAATCCATCTTTTAATTACAATACTTTTATATTATTATTTGAACCAGCAACTACTATTGAATTATTTTTATCAATTGCTATACAATAGCAACATTCTTGTTATCTGTATTTCATTTATGGAACTAATTCATATCTAAAACATTTCGAATTCCATTCTATTGATTTTTGTTCTGATTATTTACAAAAATCCATTATTTATAAAATTATCTAAAACTTTGAAGTAAATTTTATGTTAAATAATCTTGTCAATTCAATTCAATTCAATTTTTACTATACTAATCAAAAAATTCAATTTTGATATAATCTATTCACAAATTATGCTAAGTTGATATAGATGTATAACTAAATCTAAAGAAAGTAATATAATACAATTTTATAAAAAGAATTGCTTAATTATAAATGAAAATTTCAATAATTGATAATTAATTTAATATTTAAAGAGTAATAGTTTTCTATTATCATATGTCTGATAATTATTAATTAATTTATCATTAAAAATAAGAAACCTTCTAACCCATTTATTTTAGAACAAATTAATATTTGATGATTAAATTGATTTCTAGAGTAAAATTTTTAAAAACATTCTAGTCATTTTTGAAAAATAAAGAGTATTTACAATGATATTAACTAATGTAATTTCTTTACTAATGATTTTTTTTAGGAAGGGTTACAAATTCATCTAAAACCTTTTTCTATAAAATCTATCTAATTTTTTCATCATAAATTGAGCTACATAATTGATTTTCATAAAATTCAGTTGTTTTTCATTTGTATATATTCATTGATATCTTATATTTATCTTCTGATTCAATGAATTCAATTTCTGATTAATAACATTTTTAGTTTTTTCTGTAATTAAAAATTAAGAAACAAAAATTAGATGAAAAAGAATTATATTTATCTAATTAGTGTGTTGGAAAAAAATCAATTATTTATTACATTATAGATGTGTTCAAACAGAGAAAAGCTTATTTGTGTAAATATTTTAATATTCATTTCATAAAAAATGAACGTTGATTTAGAAAAATAACTCATAATTTTAAGTATTTCTTAAATGAGTAGAAAATTCTATTTAACTAAGCTTATAAAGCTTTGGTTTATAAATAATAAATTTAATAAAGATTTAATGTTAATCAAAATATTCAGAATCTTTTTACAAGATTTAACCGGTTAGATGAATTGTTGGTCAATGTTTTCAATAAAGCTAGAAACCTTATTTCTACCTTTTTTAATTAAACTTTGTTTTATTCAATATCTAGGATCTATTTATAGTCATAAATTTTTATCAAAGAACATATAATTTATTTCCTTTTAACTTAATTAAAATTGTTAAAAAATATTTAATATTTTATGGTAAATATTTACTAATAATTCAATTCTTTCCATTTTAAATTCTGCTTGATATCAAATTCCACCTATGTACCAATTTTTTAACCATATTTGCTATATTCACCAGTTTAAGCAATTTAAGATAAATTCCAAAATCCTTAACTCAATTCAATTCACTTCCCGACTTTGAATTAACCTAATTCTGTTTAATCATTCCACCACCACTAATAAAATAATTGAACTAGATAGTTAATATAATTTTACTTCAATTTATTTTCAAATAAAATATGGCAATTTCCAACTTTGATACCATTTTTTTAAAATCCACAATAAGTCACTTATAATTCATTTCTTATTTTTTTTATAATAATACATTTTAAGGATTTCACCATTTTTTAGATAATGAATTTCCTTATTTTTTAAAACATATGGAAAATTCAGATTTTCATTATTTCCTATCATACCGTTTGAAACCTTCAACTATTGCCATTTTTCATCCTATAAAAATCTTAATAATTACTAGTTTATAATAAAAATGAATTTATTAATTTCTTCTTTTAGCCATTAATTAGCTTTGTTTAATTAATTGAATTAACTTTCTTTTAATAATTTAAAGAATTTATTTATTTAATCTTAGAGTTTATTAAATGCAATTTCAATTTATATTAGAACATATTTAAAATCTTCATTGTGCTCTTAACAATGCATTTTTATTTCAATTAATATTGATTATTATCTCTTTAATTTAAATTAAATGTAAAATTATTAATTTAAAAAATTGATTTAATACTAAAAAATATATTGGAATTATTTGAAGAGTATTTCTTGAACATTGTCAGATATTGTAATTAATTTGGAGTCAAAAAAAAAAGAAGTTTATTGTACACATTATTTAATAATTAATAATGTACATTTATTATTAAACAGGTCTTATTGAAAATAAATTAAAAAAAAAAAGATATTTTCTATAAATTAATGGAAACTTTTATTAAGGAAACATGTTTCAAGATATGTAAGAATTAAATTATTCTGATTCAGTAGAGATAAATGAAATGAAGTTGTTTATTAACAGGCCTGCTCATTTTTAATGATCTATTATCAAAAAGCAGTAGAATTATCTATTATTAATAATTAATATTCAATAAAATTAAACAATATTGCAAATCTAAAATTCTTAATTTATTAATTCTAATTTATTATATATTGTTAATTTTGTTAATGTTTTTTTTGGATATTTTTCAATATAAACAAACTTATTTTAGATTCTCCACATTGTTAATAAATTTTTTATTTTAAAATTAATGAATAAAATTAATTGATACTAATATTTTTGTAACTATAAAATATATTAATATTCTTATTTCTCCTTTATTTTGTTAGTTTATTAGATTAATAGATAAAATAAAATAAAATTTGAGAGAAAAATAATAAAAAATAAATAAAAAGGAAAACTTTGTGATAGATGGAGGATGATAAAATTTATTATAGTTTTTATTAATTTCAATCATATTTTTCACTTTCATATTTATTTTTATGTGCCGTATGAAATAAATTAAAAATGCAGAAAAAGCTAATCGTGCCTACAAAAATATATCCTAATTAAACTTAATTAATTGTAACAAGAATTAGTATTATTATTATTTAGAGAATAATTAATATTATCTCAATAGATAAAGAAATCTAACAGAAACGTTTTTTCATAGAGATCTTTTAGCTTATTAGCAGAGTTCTCCTAGTTCGCTCATAAAGGTTAAGGAATTATTATTGATGGTGCTTGAATAATATTGAAATTTCAATCTCACTTTTGATTTTACTTTCTTATCATTTTAATCATTATTTTTTTAATAGGTATAAATTTCCATTTTAATCAATTCATTTTGAAGCATTTTCATATAAACAGAGATTTAAGGAAAAATTTTTAATTTTAATAATAAACTCAAGAATAACTTAATGAATAAAAAGGTTGCGTATTATGTTAAAGCATACATACATATTTTATTATTACATTTAAATCATATTAATTTACAAAATGCAATTTTGATTAGCAAAAGATCAATTGAATTATTTTTTTGGATAAAAGATCAATAAAATTATGTTTTAAATGGAGTTTCATAAAAATTAATGCAAGCTAAATTTACAAAAATTTAGGATGTCTTAATATTGATCCATGATTTTTATGATATTATATAATATAATAGTCATTTAAATTCTGTATTGCAAATTGGGCATTTCTTATTCTAGTTCAACCAATCTGTGATACATTTCTAATGAAAAATATGAGTTTAATGGCATTTTAATTATATTATAGGATCCTTATCAGAATTTTTAATCATTTATTATAAGCAAATTACACAATCTGTTTTATCTTTAAGTTCTACTTAATATATAAAATTATTATTTATATTTGTAATTGGCTATAATATTTATTTGTTTCTACTATTATTGACATTATAATTTGGATTAAATCTTTATTCAGGTTATTGTACTTATAAAAGTATTTAGCGTTGTTCTGTAATTTATGCCTCTTATTCTTACATTACTTAAGCTCTATTTTATCCGATTAAAATGATTTCACCAATATGAAAAAAAGGAAAAATCAAATATTTAAAGATCAGTAAACCTAACCATATTAATTAAGCAATTGCACAATCATAAATAATATAGATGTCAAAATTTATTATTTCATTGTTATTATTTATTTGCTTTTCAAACTAAGACACTCCTACAATATTTAATATACAACAAATTAATATAATAATTGAAAATAATCTATTATTTCCATTTTTCACTTTTAATAAGGAATCAATAAATATTTGATGATTAATGAACACAGAGTTATTAGTTTATTAAATATTGCTTTCTATTATGTAAATATGATATTACCTTTAGTTATATTTTTAAATAATGTCAGAATTATTAAGATCATGATCATATGGAATAATAAATTTGATATTATTAAAATATAAGAAGTTTTGTTTTGGGTTAGAATAATAATGACTAACAAAGCTATAAGTTTTGAAAAATTATTAATTAAAAAGATTGTACAAAATATTTTACTTCTGAATATTACTTTTGGAATATCTATTAATAAAAAATAGACTTACTTATATCTAGGTTATTGTATTAATATGATGGCCAGATTGAATATCGACATACTAAGACAATTTTTGTTACAATCTGTAGACCCTCATATGCCATAAAAAGTAAAGCTAAAATTGCACACAATATTCCTAATGGTGTCAATAATGGACCTTAAAACTTTGGAGGTGTTTGACGAGCAATACAATCATCATTATAAGAATTTTCATCTCTGTAATCAGTTTCATAATAGTGATTGTTATCTTTATCATAACATTCATATGAATAGGAAATAATTATATTTTAGACCAGAATAGACATTGCAGTTATTATATAAATATAAGTCAATTTTATTGCAGTAAATTTAGATTAATTTGAATATTAACAAAAAAATATAAGTGATGATTAATATATCCATCCATTTATTTATTTTTCTTGGGAAATCTTACGCAACATAATATCTGCTTCAGAGAATTAAAGCTTAAAGTACACAATACATCCAAATAAAACAATTAACATAGGAATTAGTAGAATACATAATATTTCTATTTAATTCTCTCCTTTATTTTAATAAATAGCAATAATTGAAATTATCAAAGTAATAACTATTAAAAACATTACTAGATAAAGTAATAAAGAAATCAAACCAAAATTAATATCTTATTAAATTTCTTGCCCAACTTAATTGCCTTATTAAATTCCTTCTTGCTATCTATTGCTTTAAATGCTTTAATATTATAAAAAATACTTATTTTATTTAAATTAAGTTATTCAATCATAACGTAGTCGATGACTGCTTCGCATAAATAATTAGATAGAAATATCATTAAAATATTTAATAATAAAAAATTTGTATTAATTATTAGTTGTTCAGATTGCGTATTATTCAGAACTTTTTATAACAGTTTTTATTTATCACAATCAGAATTCATTATGAGACCATAAAGCAAACATAAAATGATAAAAGAAAAATATTTCAAATACCATTATTTACTTATAATTAATAATCCCCAATCAGATTTCTAATAAATAAAATGATTAAAAAAAATTGATGAGTTCAATCTCATTGTTTTCATTTTGAAACGATCCTTATGCAAAAAGTTCATAAAAATTCATTATATTAAAAGGTTATCTTGAATTGCTAATATGACTTTTTGAACAGCAAATTATTTCTACCTAATTTATAAATATTTAGTTTGTATATTAGACTTCTGCTAAAAGAAAGGTAAATCCAAAACATCAATAAATTATATCACTTAACAAGCTTTCAAAATTAGTGGTAAAACTTAAAATGCTATTAGACATTTTATAAAATATAATTCAATAAATATCTCTGAAATATATTTATTTTAAATTAATCATAAATTTTTGAGTTATTTCCTTCAACAGAATGACTTTATCATAAGGCCT